CCGTAGGCAGAGAGAGAGAAGAGGACAACAAACGAGGGGAATATATATATATATATACAGTTTGTCACAGCCCCTCGTTTGTTGTCCTCTTCTCCCTCTCTGCCTACGGTTTACCGGGCAGTTCTATTTGACGATATATATATATATTCCACCCATTTTTTCAGCAGGGAAAAATCCCCGGAGTCCCCCGTTCGTGGTCCATCCAGAGTGGTTCGCGGCCGTGGCCGAGATCTCAGTCGCCGGCTGGGATCGACCCCGCGGCCGCGACCGAGGGTGAGAAATAGATGGGTGTTCTTGGATTGATGATTGATCTTGATCTGGTGGAACCCTACAGACACGTGCACGAGGATGATCCAGGATATACCTGGCTTTCAAACTTTCGTGAATGGATTGAAACTATTCAAATAAAATTGGATTTTTTTCTTGTTTCCCCTTCATCGTCGCATGCAACAATACAAGTAGAGGGGTCATCTCATCCCCTATCAGCCCATAAACCGGTAATTGCGTCCTTTTACTCCAACAAACCTGGAAGAGGTCCAGGGTATTTTAGGGTTAACACACAAATTTTGGACGACCCAGGAATCGTAGATTGGATTAAGCGATTATGGGAGGACTGAAAGCAGAACGTGGTGGTGGTACTCTAGCTCTTGCATTTCCAGAAAGCACATAAATATCTTTTCTCGGATATTCGCTGTTAGAAAAAAAAATTGGGAGATGGAGCTGATTAGGAAAATTCAACATGTAGAACTTTGAATGAGGATGCACCCCATTTCAACTTGGTATGGGGCCCAATCAGAGCCCAACACCTAGCCGAATGGGATGTGCTGCAACAACCACAATCCGATGCATAGGCCAAACGACTGAAAGTAAAAGGCATCATTGTGTATGATCGCGTGTCAAGGGAGTCATTTCAAAGACTTTCTCTGGAAAGACTTACTCATTCGTTTAGCGAACTTTCACCCCCATTTCATCATTCTCTTCCAGCAGCCCGCGAACAGGCTTTATTGTGCCTTTATGCGTCCTTGTATTATCAAGACACTCTTACTCCCCACAAAGGGGACAGCCCGAGAGACTATGGGCTCCCAGTGAAATTTTACCGATGAATTTGGGATTCGATTAAGGACGAGTTTGTAGAGATCTACAATAATGTTTTAATCGGTCAGAGACTTTTAGAAGCGATGAGGAATGATATCATCTCCCTGTTTTACAAGAAGGGTGATCGCACCAAGATTCGTAATTGGCACCCTATTTCTGTTTTAAATTTATCTTCTAAGCTACTTGCTAAAATTCTGGCCAGACGCTTAGGTTGGTAGTTTCCTGGTCTGTTTGAGCAGGACCAAGCGACGTTTGTGCAAAATCGCTTAATTTTTTTATAATATTGTAACCGCAATCGAGTCCCTGAACCTGGTTCATACCACAGGGCATAATTTATCCATCCTGTTGCTGTATCTTGAAAAAGCTTAGTGAATTGGACATACGTCCTCACCACCCTGCACCACCTGGGGTTTGGAGACAACCTGTGTAACTGGGTATTGACTCTATATTCCCTGTCTACTGCAGCGGTCATGGCAAATGGTACCCTCTCTCAGCCCTTCGCTCTCACCAGGTCTTTACGTCAGGGTTGTCGCCTGACTCCTTTACTACTTGTTTTGTAGATGGAAAATTTTCTCTGTCTTTTTGTTGTGCTCTTTGTTTTTTTTCTCTTTTTCAGTTTCTTTTTGTTCAAACCTTCTGCACCAATGAATATGATTTTGTCACATGGGCTCAACCCGCTATCATGGGGCTGCAAGTAGGCCATGTCCAATATAAGGTAAAGGCCCTTGCTGACGATCTGTTCGCCATCTCTACTAACACCAGTCAATCCATGTTTAGCCCTGAAAGATTATCTACGTGAATATGTCGACCTCTCAGAGGTTCATGTTTTTTTTTTTTTTTGTTTTTTTTTTTTACAAAACACCCCCTTCAGTGATAGTGATGCTGGTAAGAGCAGACACCACTAGCACTTGGGGAGAGGCTCCATCTATTAGTGGGAAGCATCACCTGCTGGAAAACGGGTCCAACGTCCCATATACATAATGAATTTTGGAGTACCTAAGGAAAAAAAGTGAGGGACTCCTGCCAGCATTGATTACCTTGAAATCCAGAGGATTGACTGAGCAGGATATTTGGAAAAAGGGAAATAACCTCTTCGCCCTGAAACAGGCGCCAGATACTCACTGCTACAAACTAGTTCCTTCGTCCCCCTACCAGCTCAGAGCCCTCTCATTATCCAGAGCGTACCTGCAATGACTTTGACTGTACATATAGCCATATTGGCACCATTGAATTCATGCAAGCTGGAAAACGGGTCCAACGTCCCATTGCGTCCCATTGCCTGCCCTTATTCACCTGTGAACCAGTGGGCTTCAACCATAGCATATGCAGGTGGCGGGAAAAGATCGGAAAAATCAGTGGGGGGTCGCAGCGGGTTGGCGGGATCAATCATGGTCCAATCATGAAACAGAAGACAGCAATCCCTTTTAAAATATCCGTGACACCCCCCCCCTCCTCCCTCCCTTTCCCCCATTCCATTTCACTTCCGCAATCCAGCCCCCTTGTTCTCCCCCCAGCCAGTCATTTCCAAAAAGTTTAAATTGTTGTTTAATTTCTGTCTTTGAATGTAAAAAATCCACTTTTCCTTTTACTTTTTCTAATTGGATAGTGAGGTCTACTTGAATCTGCTGCTTGATTGCTTCTATAATTGTTTGCCCTTCGAGGCGGACTCCCTCCATTTCACATGTATATCTTCTCCATTAGATTGCCTAGAAAACTACCCTGCGGCCTATCATGAGCATATTTCCTTTGAAGGTGCTTGCCTGTTCGGGCTGCCAGGTTTCACACAGGATTGATTTCCAGTCCCATGGCCAGGAGATGGTTGTGCCCAATTGCCCCCACACCCGATCCCACCATCTCCATAGCCAAATCGACCTGGTGCATTGCAAAAAAATGTATTCAATTGTCTCAAGTTTCCGCCTAGCCGGGTATGATGCCACACACAGTTTGCACCAGGGAAAAACTTTACCTTTCTGTTCCAGGGATGTGTGGTCGATCAGCCAGTCGTTGGTGGGTAGGCAACGGTGCTCCACTTGCCACTGCAGAGAAGCAAACTTGGTCGGTGCTGCTTTACTAAGTCTGAACCACTTAATAGGTTGGAGCGCATTTTTTTCCAAATTAAGGTGCCTCCTCCAATGCTCTATCACCACCTCCTTTAAATTCACCTTTGAGCGTAACAGTCTGTAGGCCCCTTTTATTATCATCGAGTGAATTTGTTGCTTACTAGTTCTGCCCCTGCCCATCTGTGTGGTCCAGACCCAGACGGCCGGATCAAACGCCAACTGCGTAATTGACTTATCCGGTCTATATGCCCACCACTAGTCCTTTTCCTTAATCACTCTGATCCGGAAGACCTCCTCTTCTTTAAACCATTTTATTTCGTCTGGGGAGGTCCTGATCAGCCTATTGTTTCTTTTGATTTGGAACAAGTTCACCATCACCTCTCTGTCTAGGCGTCCGGATACCACCACATTCCCAACCCGATCCTCGCACCCTTGTGTCCCTACCCAATCACTCTCTTCCAGGGTTCGACCTTTCCTTAAGATCCTAACCCAATCCAGTGGTATCGAGAAGATGATTTTTTTGAGTGCGTTCCCTATATTATGCCAGTAGCGCAACTTCTCCCTTAATGCTCTTTCTGTTATCCAATCTCTTGTTTCCGAATCCCAAATATCCCCCACCCTAAGAACACCCCGAGTTGAAAACCAACCTGCTCTTAAAAAAAAAAAAAAAAAAAAAAAAGGGGCAGGGAAAGTGGGGGTTTTGAGCAACGCGCGCTGCAAGCGCTAATTTGCGCTGCGGACCGGCCGGCAAGGCCTGGCCGCACTTCGCGGACTGGCGCAGGGATGGTGAGTAGTTCGCCATTACTGCGCTTGGTCATCCTGTTGCCCGCCCGGTGCTTCGGCCTGGGTGTGGGTGGGGTTTTCCACGTGGCAGTTGCAGAGGACGACACGTCGGCGAGAAGTAATCAAGCTTGGAGTAACGATGTGGCGCGGTTGCTAGGGGAGCGGCTTCGACAACAGAGTAAGAAATAATAACAGCAATAGTAATAACAAATAGCGGCCTCACCTATGGCTTCATCAACGGCGCAGATGGCGATGGAGGCGGCATCTGTGCAAGATGCCATCGCTGCCGCCATGCCTGGAGAGGAAGGAGCTGCGCTGGAGATTGTGTGGATGCACAAGCAACAGATGGAAGAGATTCATACTGCGCTTGTTCAACATAGGCCCAATCTACCAGCAGATCTTCTCGAGGAGGGTGAGGAGTTGGTTAGTGGTTGGGACGTGGAGCTCCATGCAGATCTTTCGTCTCAACGGCCGGGTGCGATTGAGAAGGCGCAGGTGATGGTGGAGTTGGTGGTTGTGCTGAAGTGCTTAAGAAAGTGAGGAGAATCTTTGATGAACTCAGGGAGGAGCTGTATGGGAGTTTGAGGTGTGATGATGTGAAAGGGTGTTGCTGTGAGGGGCATGAGGAGGGGCAGGAGCTGCGCACTATGTCACATGATTGTTCATATGTAGCGGAGGGTGTACTTCGCCGTGGGAGGCTTGAGGAGGGGCAGGGCTCTTACGGCGAACTGGAGGAGATGCGAGTATGATCGACAGTCATCTCAACACCAACTTCAGCACAGAGAGCAACGACATCGCCGGCGATGATAATCATAATATCAATAGGCATAACAATGATGACGACAATAATGGTAACAATTACTTCGAAGTGAGCAATATTGTTGCCGATGACAATAACAACAACATCAATATCAGCAAGGAGGGGCAGAAGCTTCACGGCACGTCGCAGGATCAGTCGTATGACGCTGATAACGCTTGTGTTTCAGCCACTCTCGTTATTGAGGAGGCTGTAACTTCCCGCGAGGAGCTTGAGGAGGGGCAGGTTTCTTGCGGCGAATCGGAGGTGCGTTCGTTGGTGGGTGATGGGGATTGCCCTCGGTGGGGAGGAGGGAGTATCGCTATGTCCGATAGCTACGACAACGAACTTACCATGTCTGTGGCACAGGGCGATAACAACGACAACAACAACAACAACAACAACAACAACAACAACAACAATAGTGATTGCGAAGGGATTATTGACGAAGAGCTTACGTTGTGTGTGGCGTGGGGTGGGAAAAACAACAGTAATAATGATACTGTGTGCAACGGGGGAACGGGAGGACAGACTTTCAATTGCTGCGCGCCACAAAACGATGACGATCTCAAATATAACGATCACAACAATGATCTTGCCGGCGACAATACGGCTGGGGTTCACAGCGATTGTGGCAACAGTTTTTACGATGACAATACAGCCGGCGATAAAAAGAGCAAGAAAGATACTTACAGTGACAGTCGTGGAATAACAAGTGAGAATGGACGGTCTCCTTCCCCCTTTTTCCGCCCTCCCCTGTTTTTTCTTTGTAGATGTTTTGAGAGGTGGGAGCGGGGGTGTGGGCGAGTAGGGTGGGTATTTGGAAGGTTAGGTGAACGGGGTGACTGTGCGGAAACAGTGGAAGTTGGATGGTGGCGCGAAGGGGTGGGTTAGTGACGCTAGGATAATCGGGTCGCATCTGAGGGTAGCATGTGCATGATTGCTTCCAGCGTGCTCTTCCAGGATAACGTGGTGATTGCTCGCGTTTGGCTTTTCGATCTGTTATGTGCTAATTTCGCCATGTGGCAGGGCGGATGGCGCAGTGAGGAATGAGCATCGGGAATAGGCATCAGGGTGGCCTATGCGTCTCGTTGGGTTCTGCCACGTGGTTGTCTCGCTAGGAATTCTTTCCCCCTTTCATGAAGAATCCACATGTGTTTTGTCTTCTCTGATTACCCCTCCTTTTGCTTCATAGAGCTCTTTAGGGTAGGCATAGATCTTGCGTTTCAAAAAGGCGGGTGTATCAATTGGTCTTTTACTTTCCCTACTGCTGATTGCCTCTCCTCCTCAAGGCACGATAAGGATTTACAGGGTAAGATGACGAGGAACTCAGAGTATGGGTATGATCTTGGATATAATTCGGGATTACGATGGGCAGTTAATCCCCTCAGTGGAAGGCAATCGATGCTGCTCATCGATCACTTGCCATGCGTGCGTGTCGCTTTCGATGACCGTTCACATGACTGACACGTGGCAGGGCTACATGAATTTGAAATGTTTCTATAACAACCATTTTACATGTCGAGGGACGCTGGACCCGTTTTCCAGCGGGTGCTGCTCCCCACCAATAGATGGAGCCTTCCCGAGCATGATAGCGGGCTGTTCTTATCAGCACCTCTAGCATTCACTCGGGTTGTTTCTTTAAAAAAAAAAAAAAAAAAAAAAAAAAGAACACCCCGAGCTACCCAGCCCCTCCAAGAGGCCTCCATGCAGTGGAGGGTTGTGCCATGGGAGTCGGTGATCCACCGATTCCCGAACAGAGGTTGTCTGCATACCTCCTCCCACCTTTGTGGGGCCACCTTGTCCAGAAGCGGCAACTTACGCCCAGTGTTGAGCAATGTGGTCCAAAAAGTATCATTATTAATGTCTTTTCTTACCGCTTGCCTGTCGGATCCTTGCTCTTTGTTACCTTTAGTCGTCCTTTTCGGTATAGTATAGTTTTTGTCCTCCAACCAGCTTATCGGGTCCGTGCTCTCCGGGGTGGGGGGGCCCAGCCGTTTAATCTGTTGTAGGGCCAGTTCCCTTCAGGGGGTGAGAAGATCGAAGATCATGCTCTTTACCCATTGTAAGGCCAGTGCCATAATTTGCGTGGCGGGATCTAAGATTCCCAGGCCCCTTTTGATTTAGGTTGCACGATTGCCCGCCAAGCGACCCTTCAAATCACACTTTGACATTCATGATTTCCCCTCCAATGGAAGGCCGCCACTTGTCTTTGGAGAGGACGCAATGTTGTCTTACTAAGTGGCCAAATAGTTGTCTTATACTAAAGGGAAGCTAATATCACATTATTGATTACCAAGGCTCTTCCCATCAAGGATGTGTGTTGGTCCTTCCATTGTGTTAGTTTTTCCAGCACCGGATGTGACAGCCATTCATCATTCGATGGGAGGCGGCCCTCGACGGACATTTGTACCCCTAAGACTCTGATAGGCGAGTCGGTTGGTACCCACCTTATTTTAGGGGTCTCTGGTGGCCTGCACCCTTGGTAGTGGATCCACCATCCTTCGGTCTTACTGCCCCAATTTACCTTCATGTCTGACAGGGTGCAGAAACGGTCCATCAACAACTGGATTTCCTTCTTGTTTTCAGGTGAGACATCCAACATGAGAGTGAAATCATCCGCAAACATAGAGCAAATCGGAACTGCGTCCCAAATACAAAATGAAATTGGAAGATATCAGAAAATAGATTTGCTAGACGCCTTGAGTTCTTCATAACACTTTCTTGGGGTCCAGGTTTCACTGCTGTCATGTACCATCGATCAGGAGGGCATACTCCTCCAGGAGGGCATGTCTCCACATGGGGAAACGCCCCTCACCTGTCCATATCGGTCGAGTAATGGTTGTCAATGGAGCATTACTGACCCTTTTTTGGTTCGTTGCTGCTGTTCGATCGTTGGGTCATCACTTATGCACACTGATTAGATAACGTGCCGCAAAGTTTATCTGGAAGCCTTATGCTTCAGATGAGGAGGGCTTCATGTCCAAAATTGCATGGGACCTCCTGACCTTTTCAAAGGAAGAAGGAGGACTTGGGATGACAGATCCCCAAAGAAAGAATCTTCCTATGTTAGTCCGCTGGTTAGCCCGAGCAATGTGCTCGTCCGAACCTGCCCACTGGATTCTACTCGCTGAAACCATCTTGGCCACGGAATGGAATCTAGCACATTCCTCCGATGTTTGGACCTGCTTTCTTCTTCCATCCTTCCAAAGCAGGACCATCAGATCGAAGTTTTGGAGAGCAATCGTGTTGGTCTGGAGTACCCTGAAGCTGGATTCATGGTTACCACCTGTCACCAAAACGGAAGTTATACTACCAGCCGATCTTTGAGAATCCTCGTATAAGGAAGCCTGACGGTTCTTGGTTTGCAGCAAACTCGACTCCTAACAGCTTTGGATGAAAATGGATCGAGCGCGAGGTGCTTAGGATTGATGATCTCTGGAATGAGGTAGAAGGACACTGGCGTTCCCCGTCCACCACACGGGAAATTCCAGGAGCATTTTGGTACGTGGAGGAAAGGGTGACAGAGATAATCTCTGCTGTTCCGGACACCTGGAAAGCGCTGTTGAGCCCAGAAGGGCTTGACCCCACGGGAACCTGGTATGTGATCAGGGCCCCTGACGAGGGCCCAGCCCTTTGGAAGCTACTTGGCCTTGATGGATCCCGACGTCGACTGTTTCAATGCTGGACGGGTGCCAAATTGTCAATGAACAGTCCTCGAGTACCTTGATTCAATTCGTAGAACCTACACACCGCCCCTTATGACAAGTCAGAGTTTGGGAATGGTGCGACGAGGAAGGGAAGTGGTCCTGTAAAGTTTTCGTGAAGGGAAGGCCACTAGTGGACCTGAAAATTGGTCCCAGGCAGGTGGGTTGGAGAGGGCAAGGACAAGAGAGGGAAGACCTTCCCTTGATCTCATATTCGGTGAACTCGGGCTACCAGGCCCAAGGACCCACCAGAAATCCGAAGGTAGTAGCGGTGTCCAGATGGACAGGCCTGCATCAGATGTTGAGCAGTCCCTCTCTCGCGTCATGAATCAGCTGGCAAACTCTCCTTATCCCAGACTTTGCGGCTTCTATCAATGTTGGCTACTCCATCTGCTGTCAACCTGGCTCAGAGGGGCTTGCGCGTGGATATGACCTGTAAAAGGTCCTGCTGGGCTTTTGAATCTACTCCACATTTGTGGTACGACTGCCCAGCTGCAAAAAGGATCTGGGATTGGTGGGCCAGGCAATGGGAGCTTCTGTTTGGGGCTCTGGTTTTACATAGGACAGAGAGTGGATTTTATCGGGGGGCTTACCGGCCAACCTAGAGACTCAGAAGGGCATTGGTTATGTGGCTCAGGCAGCCAGGGTGGTGTGGAAGGGCAGAAACCTGAAGGTTTTTGAGCACAGAGAAATGACTAACGTGGAGACCAAGAACCCACTGAGGCATATTATCCAGGCAGATTAGGGTTCTTGGTCCTCCTGGTTCGGGGCAGTGCCTGCACCGTGAACGTGCCCTGCCGTGGTCAGTGAACAGTGACCGGCCGGTCATATGCCCCTGCACCCGTGAACGACTGTTCACGGTGACCGGCCAAACCATGAGCGCGTTTTTTTTTTTTTTTTTTCCCTGGCTCACCCTGCCACCGTCGCCACAAGCCCCACATCGTAATGACATTAAAAAATATATATACCCTGATTTTTCTTTTCTTTTTTAATTAAAAAAAATCGTGAAAAATGAAAAAATTATGGGGTGGTACCCTCCAATTACCCCGCCCTTCTACAAAAACAAAAAACCCTCCCCAGCCAAAAAAATAAAATAAAAAAAATTCCGCTCCCTGTGACTGCTGTGACCACCTGGCGTTCACTAATTTCGTGAATGGTGACGGGGGTCCAGTCACAGACCCCCCGGTTCATGAATGGGGGTACGACACAGGTTTGGGGACACTTGGGGAGTGGGGGGAATACTGGCGATTTTGAAGGAGGGTAAGCTAGACTTGAATAGTTGGCTTTGGAAACCGTAGGTCAGGTAGTTCGAGGGGATGAACCTGAGCACTCGGTTCTCGGATTCCGAAGGAGGAAGGTAGTATGGTGGTGTGAAGTGGAAGGACTCAGCTTTGCTGTTCCGCCGGCCTGTCTGGCCCGGCGCTGTTGCTGATAGACAGCTAGTCCTTGATTAGCTGTACATGCTGCAGGCTATGTAGGTTACTCAGCTCACTACTGTTGGTTGACTGTAGCTTGGCAACTTGCTTCTCCGTTTGTTGGGTTTGAGGGTCTGACACTGTT